TTCTCTGGAGTGTCCTGGTTTATGCACTCACCGGTCCTGTGTATTCACATTGCTCCCTGTCCTTGCCGCCCTGTCGTAGTCTATTTCTGTTGCTTACAGTTTCGGAGGCTGGGAACGCCAATGTCCAGGTAACACTTCTGGTGAGAGTCTTGGTAGTGGTGACAGTGAAGGCAGAGTATCATACTGTGAAAATGGTGGAGCGGAGAGAGAGTAACCTCCTCATTCACTCTCCTTTTAAAGCCCTCAGAACCACACCCCTGACCACCATTATTAACCCATTCACTCCTGCACGGTCCTACGATCCAACCACCTCTTCAAGGCCCCACCTTTCAATTACTGTAATAGGATTTCCCACCCTCTTAATAGTCACAGTGGGGGCCAGGTTTCTAATACATAAAACTTGGGGGACACATTCAAGCTTCAGTGAGTTTGGGGGACATAACTCCCTCCACTGGACACCCCTTGGTGCCGTGGCACTACTTTGCATTTCCCAGTCTGATAGGTGAGAGACAGACTCTCTTGCTTTAATTTTTATTTTCCTGATTATTAGGAAGATTGAATATCTCTTTAGATGTTTTTTGGCCATTTCTGTCTTCTGCGTTGCTTAGTTTTGATTGAGTTTTTGGTCTTATTTATTTGTAGGAATTCTTTACATATTCTGTATACTATTTCTTTGGTGGCTATTTGTATTACAGGTATCTTTTTCCAGTGTTGGCTTGTCTTTTAATATTATGATGTCTCTTATCAGGACAGGTTTTAAATTTTAATGTGCTCAGACTTATCTTTTCCTTTTTGTATGTTTAGAAATCCTTCCCTGCCCCGTTTATCATAATGATTTTCTGCTATTTTTTCTCTACTGTTTAGCTGTACCCCTGTCCACATGCACTGAGCGCTCAAAGATGATTTCTGGGCTCTCCAGGCCACTTTCTGCTCTTGTCCTTCTCATGACTCATTAGAGGGTGGGGACATCAATCTAGGAACACAACCAGCATTAAAAAGTGACATAGGCCAGCCTAGAACAGAATGCACAGCATGAACCAGGGGCATGTTTCATGAAATGTTTGTTTCAGTTAGTTATATTTCTTTCTTTTGAAATACATATATTTACACATAGATATGTGTATTGGGTTTTAATGAAAAATGTGTTTTTTACCACCATTTATGAAAAAGCTGGGGACACACTAGTCTGTTTTCCCCAAGCCATAGCCACAGGCCTGCTCCCGACATCTGTGGGGCTCAAAGTCACCTGCCACATGTTTAAATGCTTAAGAGTTAAAAGACAAACAAACTGTGAAATAAAACACACGCTGTCCTCCTACTTGGACTAAGACATCATTGTGGCCTGGAAGGCCAGGCTCCAGGTTCGAGAAGAATTCGTAGACTTCTTGGAGTTCTGGAATGTGGCAGCACAGGGGAGCTGGCCCCTGGCATCCCAGGCCTGCCCCTTCTTGTCCCACACCTAGTGCCACCTCATGCCACGGGAGCCTGCCATGGTACATCCAGGCTTTGAACCCCCTCCCCTCAGGCTAGGGGTATATGCACTGGTAGAAGCCTGTCTAAGGAGGGTGGACTGGTGAAGAGGCCTGTGCAGGCCCCAAAGCAGCTTGGAGGCCTCTGGGAAGGACGTTGCAGGTCCCGGGCACTGGGAGCATGGCAAGGGCAGGGTGGTGCCGGGGTCTCCACATGGGCTCTGGGTGGGCCTCGCTCCTTGGCCCTGAAGAATCCTGCCTCTGGGGATGGGCCGCAGTGGGTCCCTGGAAAGCAGGTATCCCCTCTGCTTAGGTGGGAGGGCATTTGTGCCAACGCCGTCCTCTGTGTGTCGTCCGCGGTGTGCAGGTTGTGTTGTCCATGGCGGACTGCCCTCCCAGTGTTCTTCAGAGTGGTCTTTGACCGTCTTTGGCCCTTTGCTTAATAAATTCTTGCTTTTATTTTTTTGTTCCTACTCTCTTACTTTTTTGGGTTTGTTTGTGCTTAATCATTAATTTGTATCTCTCTTGTGTTCTGACATATATTTAAGGCTACAGATTTCTCTTAATACTGCTTTGTCTGCATCCCACAAGTTCAGAATTTGTCATTCAGTGCTAAACATTTTCTAATTTCCATTATGCTTTTATTTTATTTTATTTTTTAATTTATAAAGAAAAGAGGTTTCTTTGGCTCACGATTCTGGGACATCTGCATCTGGCGCGGGCCTCTGGCTGCTGCCACTCCTGGCGGAAAGTGGCAGGCAGCTGGCAGGTGCAGGATCACATGGCGAGAGGATGGAAGATTTTATTTTGGATCCATGAATTATCTAGAGGTCTGTGGTTTCCAGACTTGTTTTTGTGCTTGTTCTCAATGTCTTGTTATATTCCTACGTATCTTCCACTGTGTTCCGTTTGTAAATGGTCAACATTTGT